TTCTGGACATATAAGTTGAGGGTGTTATGTAAAATTTTGGAAATTTGGCATATTTTAAAAAGAAAACTAACACTAAAATGGGGTAAAATAGTTTGTCTAAGGAAGTCTTGAAGAATATCAAGCATGAAAAATAAAGCTTTCTAGAGTCGTTGAGCAGAAAAATGTGTCTCAGGACATACTCAGGAGCCAGTACTGGACTCATCACTCACAGGACCACCCACTACGCATCAGATGTGGCTAAGAAAGAACTGATTCTTGCCATAGAACATGAGAGACCAAACAACAAGGCAAGTTCCAGGCCCATGTTTTACTATTCAAGGCCATTCCCCTCCTCATACTAGTTCAGGAATGGTAGGGAGGAGAGATTCAGAAAGGTTTTCTCTTAGTGCACAGAAATTCATTATTGTAAATATCAGCGCTTCATAGCTTTAGATATGATGATCATAAATTGCCACTATTCTTCAAAAATATTTAAGTGGGTAGGAGAAGAAAAGGAGTACACACAGAAAAAATGAGGACATGTATATTCTAATATATTAAAGTAGTTATTTCTGGGTGTTTGAATTTATTAGTGATTTTACTTTCTAAAAAGTATATTTTTAATATCTGAAAACAAATTTAAATTAAAAGCAAAATGTATAAATCATAAGTTTTAAATGAACACCTCCTACTTTAATCAGGAATAAAAGACTGTACTTTTATAAACAAAAAAAGAAACTCTAGGCTGGGTGCAGTGTCTCTCTTCTGTACTCCCAGCACTTTGGAAGGAAGAGGTGGGAAAATTGCTTTAGCAGAGGGGTTCGAGAACCAGCCTGGGCAATTTGACAAGACTTTGTCTCTGCAATAAATGAAAAAATTAGCTGGGCATGGCGGTGAGTGCCTGTATTCATAGCCACTTGGAAGGCTAAGGCAGAAGGATTTCCTAAGCCCTAGCAGGTCGAGGCTGTGGGTAGGTAACCTTGTGTGTGCCACTGCACTCTGGCTCAGGAAAAAAAAAAAAAACAGAAAAGAAAGAAAAAAAGAAACTCTGAAATGACTTAGAAGCTTAAATATTGGAACTATAATTGTTTGAGTGCTGTTAAATGCCTCTTACTCAGTACTTTTCATTCACTATTCTCAATTCTCTCAAAAACTCTGGGAGGTAGAGATTACCATCATAATTTTGCAGATGAAGGAATGAGGCTTAGATGCTGAAAATAATTTGTGTAAATTTTCACAGCTAGAAACAGCAGAATGAAGGTTCTAACCTAAGTCTGATTTACTCTAATGCCCAAGATCTTTTCACTGTATCGTGTAAGTCCTTCAGCACTTTCTCACTAGCAGTATTGTCATGGTAGTAAATGGTGGTGCTGGTAGTAGTAGCTGCTAGCATTTATGTCAGATGCTTTATAAAAAGGGCTTCACATAGACGCAATTCATTCTCCCAGTATAATACAAGGTGTATGTTATTATTACAGTATTGTCATTTTACAGATGAGAAAACTGAGGTATAAACAGTTTAAGTAACCTGTCCTCAGCCACAAAGCTAACTGCTGGCACAGCTAGGATTTTGAATGGAAATTAATTTCCATCAAAAGTCTTTTAAAAAATTTTATTTTAAAGATGTGTGGTACTATTCAGGCCTAGGTATACAAGTGGACATCGTACAAGTAAAGTTTGGGTCTCCCTTTGGTCCCTGCTTTGCCTGGTTTGAGATGAAGTATGCTTATTGATGTTGTGTCCCCACTCCCACCCAGGCAGGATCCCACTAGTGCCAATTTCTTTCTTATAGTATTTTGGTAAATGTTCTGGGTCCCCTCATGAGTGAGAACACGTGGTTCTCAATTCTTTGTTTCTGTGATACATCACTGAGTATGATAGACTCTAAATCCATCCAAGTTGCTGTGAAGTCTGTATGTTTGTCCTCCTTTATGCAGTGTGGCTGCATAATATTCCATTGTGTATATGTATTACATTCTTTTTATCCAGTCCAGTTTCAATGGGTAGCACGATTGGGTCCATGTTGCTAATGGGAAAAAATAATAAAATAGAAGATGTGCTGGTTTTATATCTTTATTGTGTCCCTGATAAATGTCTAATTAGTAAGCTATCTATATTACTTTAGTGAACACAAAAATTTATATATGATATTTATTATGTTTTTCCTATATTATTGAATGAATGATAAAATTCTAGAGGAATGCCAAAGAAAAATATTGATATCTGAAATTAATACAATAGTATAATTCATGAAATAGAATAATGTATAGATATAGAGTTGAGTAATGGTGTGAAATAAATAATATGAAGTTATTATTAAATGGTGAAAGATGGCATAGCGCTAACCTATCCTGGGCTCAGCTACTTGAACCTGGGTTGTCACCTGTAAAAGAAGAGTAACTCCTGTCTTCCAAGGTTGTTTTGAAGATTCAAGATAATATATGTAAAATTTCCAGAACCCAATAGCATTTAATAAATGGTATTATCAGCCAGGCTCGGTGGCTCAGCCTGTAATCCCGTGCCTTTGGGAGGCTGAGGTGAGTGGATTGCCTGAGCCCGCGGGTTCGAGACCTGCCTGGGTAACTTGGCAAGACCTCATCTCTACAATAAATCAAAAATCAGCCGGGCGTGGTAGCACTCGCCTGTAATTCTGGCTACTTGGAAGGCTGAGGCGGAAGGATCGCTGGAGCCCAGCAATTCGAGGCTGTGGTGGGTTGCACTCCAGTCTGGGTGACAGAGTGAGACTCCAACTCAAAAATGAAAAATGAAAAATTAAAAAAATAAATGGTATTATCATTATTATGTATTATAGATAAAACATAAGTCTTTAGTAATAATTACATGTGTCTTTCTGACATCACATTTGACAATTTTATGTGTAGATGAGCAGCTGCTAAAATTAAATTACACCTTGCATCGCATAATACATTTGTTGCTAAAAAGCAGCAAGCAAAGAAATCCAGAATTAAATTGTATTTTAAATAAATTAAGATACTCTCCCATTTGAAAAAATATGTTATTGGGCAATCTTCCTGTAAATCAAGCAGCTTTTGAATTCAGAATAATGTTTTTAATGTTATGTTTATAAATGTTTAGTCAATTTGTTTAAATAAAACATGTCAGTATGTCATGGTTATATTTACAACTCAAAAACTACATGCTCTAATTTAGGTGTATGATATATCTTGGGAAAAATTTAGTTGCAAATATCTTCAAATTATCAACTTAACTTACTTTTAAAATATAAATATTTTTTATCAAGAAGAAATTGCTCATTTTTTTAAAATTAGTGATGACCTAATATAAATTTTGCATGTATCCTGATGTCAGTGTTGTCCCACTTACTCATTTAATCTCAACACTTAATTTTTATGGGAAATGAAATATATAATTTGATTTCTTTTTCAAAAATTCACATCTCTATAACCCACGATTAAAAAAAAAATAAATAAAGCCTGCAATACAACTATGTACAGCCTAGGCTACTTCTGTTACAAATTTTTAAGCTTGGTCTCTGGCTAGCATGAGGCAACAGTGCCACCTTCAGTATATTTTAGTACCTAGCTCTAAGGAAAAATTGCTCATTTTCACTTAAGAACATAGAAAACTGGAGGTGTTATGCAGATGGTACTTATTGATGTCATCTACTTACATATATAATTAGTGGTGTTGTGATCTTAAATTCTTTTTGCCAGTATGTTTCATTTCTATGTTGCTGGCCTGGCCTGTGTCTTTGAAATTCTAATTCATTTGCAAAAACAACTATAAACTGTTTATTCTCAAAATATTTTATTTTAAGTCCCACCCAATTTTATTAGCAGTATTATAACACTATTTTCTTAATTTGAGTTAATATTACACTGTTTTTTTTTTTTTTTGGCATAATGAATGCATAGTATATTCAAAGTATCTGGAAAAAAAAACAAATATTAAATATATATCATATATTTTTATATATTTAGGTCTATATTACCAGTAAAGATTATATTTGGTAAATGTACATTTTACCCTAAATAGGTATTCTGATTTAGAAATATGTAAGTGTTCAAATCCCCAACAGTTTTTAATCCTAAATGCATAAATCTAAGCACTATGTTTTAATCATAAAAACAAAAATTGCATTTTAAAATTTTTTATGAGTTTAATTAAACACTGAAGATTTCTATCTAGTGTGTTTTGGATGCATCTTATATAACAGTGGAGGAGACCTAAAGACATAACGTTAAAAGCCATTTAAGTTCATTTCATCAACAGATACTCCCTGAGTACTTCCTCTTTCCTCTAGTGGTCTTTTAATTACATAAATATACAATAAGTCATATTTTTCATAATTTTTGAACCAGTAGAATTTTTTCTTGCTTCTTACTGCCCCCACACATACAGATTTTCTGTGAAGCTTTACATATTAAAGTTAAGCAATCTGAAAATTAATACATATTATGAGTTCAATACTATACTAAGTGAAATTAGGAATTTAAAATGAGATATGAATCCCAGCACTTTGGGAGGCAGAGATAAGAGAATTCCCTTGAGCCCAGGGGTTCGAGACCAGCCTAGGCAACTTGGTGAGCCCTCATCTCTACCACAAATCAAGAAAATTATTCAGGTGTGGTGGCACACGCCTGTAGTTCCAGCTACTTGGAACGCTGAGGTGGAAGGATTACCTGAGCCCAGCAGGTCGAGGCTGTGGTGGCTATGAGCGTGCCACTGAACTCTAGCCTGGATGACAGAGTGAGACTCCAACTCAAAAAATAAGTAAATAAAATGAGATACGTGATGAACATACCAAAGCATACTGATATATCCGCGTCAATGGTGACTTTCTTATGTTTATGAATTATATCTCAATTTTATAAAAAGTCAAACAGACCTGTATAAAAAGATTTGTTTGTTTTTTAAAACAAAAAATCCAAATCCTTTAGATTAACCATTTTTCTTTGACTTGTTTCCCTTGTCTTTACATGAAATTATTTTATTGTTATATTATTTATTCACTAGTTTCCATATTTATGTCTCTCTAGCTCATGGTGAGAAACATGAGGAATTAATTACCTTAGGAAGCCCAGATTCTCATACTATTAGTGAGGGACAAAAATCTTCAGGAACTTCCAAAACAACCAGAAAAGGTAAAGAAAAGCCTTCTGAGAAAGAAAAGACAGCCAAAGAAAAACAAGCACCTCGCTTTGAGCTTCAGGTAAGTGTGGCACGATTTTTTTTACTGAAATCACTTACCGTAGAGTTCACTAGATGCCTCCTTCCCTATCTCTCCTGAGGACAAAATTGACAAATTCTACCTCCCTGATTCCAGCAACCATCTCAGTACCTTGAGAGCATTCCTTGGATACTTTCTCCAAACCTTCTTTTCTAGTTCAGTATCAAAAAGTATTAACTGAGCTTTTACTATATCGAACACTATTCTTTGGACTTGGGTTTCTGAGATTAAAATGATCCAGTCTTTACCCTAAAATAACTTAGAGTCTATTGGAGGAAACCCAAGATAAACAGAGAGTTTTAATGTTGTGTTGTATGTGCAGTGGTAGAAAGGATGGGTTCTAATCCAACCTCTTCCAGGAGGACCTGAGCTCTGAACAAAGACATGCTGAGGAAAATTCAACTCAGTCTAGTTTTTTATAGTATTAAAGCATGAGAGATGAGGCTAAGAGAGACTTTAAGCCTCATCGGAAGGCTGGGAACCTATGTATACCCCAGAGGTCATGACTCTAAACTCCTTCAGGGTCAAGTAGGTAATTGCAGTGATTAGGGATAAGGAAGAAAATGTGGCTGGCAAACTTGAGTGCAATCATAGGCCTAAAGATATTCAAGTTATTTTACAAACACTGCACTCAAAACAAACTACCTGCGTGAATCTTTTTGCCATTTGTGATCATTGCCCAGGTTAAGCAGAACTGGAAGGTGGAATATTGAAGAAGTGCATTGACATGATAAGATTTACATTTCAGATATCCTGGTGGCTTTTAAGTATATGGATCTAAAGGAGAAAAGATTAGAGATGGGAAAAACATTCAAGACAGTACTTTAGTAATCCAAGCAAAAGAGTACAAGGTGTACCAGGAACAGATCAAAAGAAAGAAAAAGAGAGGAGAGATCAAGAACTAACTAGGAAACACAACAGGGGTGTAGTCATTAATCTGAAATGGGTGTTAAGAAACAAGGAGGAACAGAGTACATCTCCCAGGTTTCAGCAAGATTAACTAAGTAGAATGTTGACAACACTAGCAAAATAGTAAAGAAAATTAGCAAATAAGGAGAGAGATGATGAACTGTGGTTCCAGGTTGCAGGAATGGTCCACTTGCATTTGAAAGATTTTATTTCTTAGCTGAAGTCTGCCCTTGGAAGTGAAGTAGTTAAGCGTAACCCATTCGTAGATTCACCACTAGACACGGGGCTCTCCCTTAATACCTTTGTAGTCCTCCCTTCCCTGATCAAAACTTGTTCTTAGAGAGCTCATTTGTCAAGCAATTTAAAGTATTGCAAAAACTAGCGTACTATATTATAAAAGGAAGAAATAAAAGACTTTCCAACTATGAGATTCAGTTCTTATAAAAATATTAGAGGAATATTGTAGAAAGCAAGATGTTTTTGGTAACACTGAAAGCAAACTGCACATGAAAAGTTTATTCAGTGGTTGTACTAATCTCCCCTTCCTGAACTGCATTATTTGACATGGATAATGGACATAGTCTCAACCTTATGTAAAGTGCTATATAACCACATCAGTTTCAAGTCTATCTCCCTACCCAATTGCCACCAGTGAAACTAACCTATGTAGAAATTCTCAAGGACTGTATCAATCTGCTCCCAGCCTATAGTCTATGCAAGTGATCCTATGAGATATCAAAATGTTGTTAACTTTTATAATGAATATATAGCAAATATATCTAGACCTGGACATAATCAAATATCCTGCTCTTGTTTTTGTAAAAAGATGCTAAGTGGAAAAAAGCATATTTTAGAATTTAATGTGTATAATTTTTAGGTAAAATTTGCATACAATAAAATGCACAAATTTTAATTGTATGATTCAATGAGTTTTGACAAATATATTCACCATATGACCCATGCCCCTATCAAGATATTGATTATAACTCCAGGCCAATATACTTGATAAACATAGATGCTAAAATTCTCCACAAGATTCCAGCAAACCAGATCCAATAACACATCTCAATAATCAACCACAATGGCCAAGCAAGCTTCATCCCTGGGATGCAGGGCTGGTTCAACATCCACAAAACCATAAACGTAATTAAATACATCAACAAACAAAAAAACCACGATTATATCATTAGATGCAAAAAAAGCTTTTGATAAAATCTAGTTCCCCTTCTTGATAAAAACCCTCAAACATCTAGGCTTAGATGGAACATACCTCAAAATAGTAGAGCCATCTATGAGAAACCCAACATACTACTAAACAAACAGAAATTGGAATCATCTCCTCTGAAAACTGGAACAAGACAAGGATACCCACTCTCACCCCTCCTGTTCAACATAGTATTGGAAGTCCTAGCTAGAGCAATCAGACAAAAAAAAAAAAAAAGAAATCAGGGGTATCAAAATAGGAAAAGAGAAAGCTAAGTTATCCCTCTTTGCAGATGACATGATTCTATACCTTGAAAACCCAAGAGAATCTGTCAAAAATCTCGTTGCACTGATAAAGAACTTTGGCAAAGTCTCAGGGTATAAAATAAATGTGCAGAAGACAGTAGCATTTCTATATATCAAAAATAAACAAACAGAAACCAAAATAAAAAGCACAATCCCATTCACAATAGTCACCAGAAAAAAAGAAATACCTTGGCATATTCCTAACCAGAGATGTGAAAGACCTTTACAATGAAAGCTACAAAATACTGCTCAAGGAAATCAAAGATGACACAAACAAATAGAAAAATATTCCATGCTCATGGACTGGAAGAGTCAACATTGTTAAGATGTCCATTCTACCCAAGGTAATCTACAGATTTAATGCATTCTTCTCAGACCAGAAAACGACAATACAGGAATTCATATGGAAACATAAACAACCACGAATAGCCAAAACAATCCTCAGTAAAGAAAAATGTTTTTTAAAAAGAAGAAAAAAACAGAGTGGGAGGTATCACACTCCCAGACTTTAAACTTATTATAAAGCTACAATAATCAAAACAGCCTGGTATTGATACAAGAACAGGCATATAGACCAATGGAACAGGATAGAGATTTCAGAAGCAAAACCTCAATTTCTCAGCCAACTCATCTTTGACAAAGCCTCCACCACCAATCACAGGGGAGAGGAAAAGCTATTCAGTAAATGGTGCTGGGAAAACTGGCTGACCATATGCAGAAGATTAAAACAAGACCCCTACCTATCATCATATACAAACGTCAACTCTAAATGGATCAAAGACCTAAATGTAAAACTTCAAACAATTAGAATCTTAGAAAGTACAGGAGACACCCTTATGGAAATTGGAACTGGCAACCATTTCCTGATCAAAACCCCAAGTGCCCATGCCATAAGAGATAAGATGGATAAGTGGAACCTCATCAAACTGACAAGTTTCTGCAAAGTCAAAGAAACCATCGAGACAGCAGGGAGACAGTCCACAGACTGGGAAAAAATATTTGTCAACTGTATATCTGACAAAAGCCTGACACCTAGGATCCACAAGGAACTCAAACATGCTGAAAATAAAAAAACAAACAGTCCCATTACAAAGTGGGTAAAAGGCGTGAATAAGCACTTCTCAAAAGAAGACGTAGGAGCAGCCAACAGATACATGAAAAATGCTCAGCCTCACTAGTCATCAAAGAAATACAAATCAAAACCACATTGTGATACCAACTAACTCCAGCCAGGAAGACCATCATCAAAAACAAAAAACAACAGATGCTGGAGAGGATGCAGGGAAAAGGGAACACTTCTACACTGTTGGTGGGAGTTTAAACAAGTACAACCTCTGTGGAAAACAGTTTGAAAATTCCTAAAAGGTCTAAAAATCGACCTTCCATATGACCCACCAATCCTCCTACTGGGAATATACCCAGAGGAACTCAAATCACTCTATGAAAAAGATACCTGCACACGCATGTTTATTGCAGCATTGTTTACAATAGCAAAAACATGGAACTAACTGTGCTGCCCATCGAAAGAGAACTAGATTTAAAAAATGTGGTACATATACACGATGGAATATCACGCTGCCTTGGATGGACTTAGAGTCTATAGTACTGAGTGATCTATGACAGAAACAAAGAACTGTGTATCATATGTTCTCACTCATAAGTGGACCCTGAACAATTATCATAATACTATAACAAAAGGGTTATCAGTAGTGGGAAATTGCCGGGGGTGGGGCGGGATTGGCAATAGTGGGATTCTGCTGGGGGGGCGGCACACCTCATCAACAAGGGATACCTGCATAATGAACATTTGTATAACTAACCCTGAATTATATCCCACATCTCTAAAATAAAAAAAAAAAATTTTTTTAAAGATATAGATTATAGATCACGCCCATTATGTCAGGAATTTCCTCCAACTTTCTTGCATTGCATTCTTTCGTCCCCACTCCTCATCTCCCAGTAGCCACTGATCTTTCCGTCACTATGCTTTTTCCCTGTTCTGGGATTTCACACCATTGGCATACAAGATGTACTCTTTTGTGTTCAACTTCTTTATCTCAGTATAATACCTGCCTGTGGTATATATCAGTAGTTCTTACCTTGTAACATTAAAGAGTACCCAATTACATGAATACATTACAATTTGTTTATTCCTTAGTCAATAGACATATTTTATTATCTGTATATGTGTGTGTGTGTGTAGTTTTATGAATAAGACAGCAATGAACATATTTGTATAAGTCTTTTGTGAACATGTGATTTCATTTCTTTTAGGTAAATACCTAATAATAAAATTATGGATCATGAGGTAAAATCTAGACACCTTTGAAATGAGGCAAACATCCAACTCAAGGGTTTTTATTTTATTTTCTCAGATACCTACTCTTCACTCTCAACAAGAAGACCCAAACAAACCCTACTGGATTTTGAGGCTTGTCATTGAACACAATGAATCAGACTTTTTTGAAGTGAAAAAGGATACAGAACGAGCAGATGAAATACGAGCCATGAAGCAGGCCTGGGAGATGACTGAGCCAGGAAGAGCAATCAAGGTCACCTGACTTTAAAAAGTGTTACTTTTAAACTTTTCATCTTTAAGCTTGGTCTGGAAAAAGAGTCACATTGGTCAAACCATATAGTCTTTCCTTTAGAAATGGTATCTGGAATTTTATAAGACACTGATTAACTAAATATTAAGACCATATTGGGCCATATGGTGAAATGTTCCCCTCCTGATATCACAAAATGGTGCCACATATAGGCTCAAACTATTAATATGAGTTACTTCATTCTTTCACATAGTCTTGGTTATGTATACATCTGCCCTTAACACCCCCAAGTAAGAAAACAGAGATGTTGAACAGGTGAACAACCTTAACGATTAAAAGCATGTACTGCCTCCTTGTGGAAGGCTTATACCTTGACTCTTCCCCAATCCCCTATGTTAACTATAAGGGTCATTGCTCTGGTGAAACACTATGTACTTCTGTGTTAAACTGGGAGAGGGATGTCTGTGATCCAGTGCCACGGGTAAGATGCAAAGAAATGCACATAAGATTGGAAAATCTAGATTGATTTAGAAAGTAGATTGGAAAGGGAGGGAAAAGGGGGATCCGCCTCCTGCAGATTGGGGAGGGGGCCAGAGCTTAAAGAGAAGCATGGCCTGGCTATAGCGCGATGAACACATGGTCTGGCCAGAGTTTAACAAAATCAGTGCTGGCAACTGTTTGAGGTCAAATGTTTTTTAAACTTTTCCTTTGATGGGGCAGGTTGTTAAGGTGATTGGGTGGTGATCTGTTTTGTGTCATCAAGAAGGGGCAGGTAAACACAGGTACTGACATCACAGTGATGGACGGCAGGCAGCCGGGTGTGCTAGTCACCTAACTGTTGCCATGGTGATGGGGTCTGTCACCTTCCTGATGACCAAATCGATGAGTGGGCCAGTAACATAGATGAGAGGGGCAGGTGAAAGAAGGTCCCTTGGGAGATGTTAATCTCAATGTTTTGTGGCTTGCCCAGGGTTCTAGGAAAGGATTAATGTCTGGCTTAAGGAGGCCAGAGAGATTCCATTTGTGGTTCTATCTTTTCAGTAAGTGATTCATGTTCCAATTAGAGGGATATTGGGGCAAATGAAAAAAGATTCAGGAGCAACTGAATCTAAGATAGCACACCCAAGGTGTTCGTTTTAGGACTACTTCATTCATTCTCAAAAATAACTGTCAAAATCATGGATGGTTTAGAATTTGAGTTTATTTAATAATTGAGATCGGGCCTGGCTCAAACTGCCCTATGCAATTCACATTCTCCTGTTTCATTTCAGATTGAATACTGTTAACATGTATTTCCTGTACTGTTTGCTGCTTTTCAAGAGTTTTTTAAACAGTTGATAACGTTTGTTCTCTAGGCTTCTCAGGCCCGTTTGCATTATCTTAGCCGGTTCATTAAGAAAACATCTGATGCAGAGAGTGTACCTGTGTCTGAAAGCCAAACTAAAACAGTGGAAGAAGGTCAGTAAATTCTGCCCCAGCTGCCTCAGAGCACAGGGCTGTTACTTGCACCTCTTAAAAAAAAAAAAGTAGTCAATGGGTTATGCTTGGTAAAAAGGTAACATTTCAGAATCTGCTATCATTGGGATTGTGAAAAGCTGCTTAATTTCAGATAACTGTATTAACAGTGTCTCAATTATTGAATCATTCTCACTCATTCTCTCATTGAAGTCCTACATCTCCTTCACCCAGTCACCTTGAAAGTAGTTTTGGGCCAGGCTCTGTGGCTCAGCCTGTCATTCCAGTACTTTGGGAGACCAAGGAGAGTGGATTGCCTGAGCCCATGGGTTCAAGACTAGCCCAGGCAACTTGGCAAGATCTCGTCTCTACAATAAATCAAAAATGAGCCGAGCGTGGTAGCACCCGTCTGTAGTTCCAGCTCCTTGGAAGGCTGAGGGGGGTGGCCGTGAGTGTGCCACTGCACTGTAGCCTGGGTGACGGAGTGAGACTACAACTCAAAAAAAAAAGTAGATATGATTTCCCCCATTTAAGTAAAGGTGCAACCAGAGATAAGTATGCAACCTAGTTAGAAGGTGGCAGTATGGAACTTGAAGGCATGCCTACTACTATAAATGGCATACCTTTCTAATAACAGTAATAGTAGATAATAGCAAGTAGAAGCATAATAAAGCTAACTACTTTTATTGCCTGATTGCTTTGGGCCCACCACTGTTGTTGATATTAATTCTTTCATTTAATATTCACATCAACCTACTGAGGTATGTAATATGATTTCCAGATTATCAGTAAGAACACAGGCACAAAGAGCCTCAGCACTTCTCTAAGTTGACAAGAAACTCAGATCCAGCCAGCCTGCAGATGGGGCTTTCCATGACTCTGTGTCTTCTCACAGCCACTTGGCTGCCCCACCTATCACCACACTGTACAGAAGACATCTACATCCCAAATCATGTTTTTTCAGTTATATATCTTCAATCGTTGCTTAAAAATTATATCCCTTAACTTTTCATATGAACAGTGTGAACAGCATATATCACCCTAATCCTGTTATCTATCCTGAGATAGGCATTCTGCAAAGCATGTTATGTTTGTTCTTTTACTTTAACCTATAGCAACCGTGAGGCAAGCATTTCTATTCCCATTTTACAAATAAAGACACCAAAAGTCAGAGACTTATTCTTCCTAAGTTGTAAATATTGAAAGTGACAGAGTTGAGATTTGAAATATTTCTAATTACTAAAATACTTTAATTGTTAGTTAGAATCTAATGTGATTTAGGAAAACAAAAGTGAATAGGATTCAGTTCTTGTCCTTTAGGCTGTATATTTATTATTTTTTTTAATTATATGAACAGTGTAAAAAATATTACACTGGACATGATAAAGTGAAAAAAAGATTTTATTCAAGACTATTGAAATAGGGGAGAAAGATTGAATTTAACTCTGAATACAACAGGGACAAGTGGGGATTTATAACCAACAAGCCAGACAAGGAAACAGATAGAAATTATTAAAAGGAACTTAATTAGATATCAAAGGTTAGGGAAGAAGAACTTGACGGGATACCAAGCGTGGGGGAATTCTGGAGAGACTGGCATAGCAGGATTCTTTGTTAAAACTGGGGTCAGCATTTCAGGGACAAGGCTTACCTGAGAACAGTGCTTAGAGGAGCCTGACTTTAACATATAACATACATGTCATAAAAACACAAATCTTAACCATACGGCTTGATTAATTTTTGAATTTGTATATACTCAGTAGTCACCATTTAGATCAAGATATAAAACGCTTACCACACACTAAATGTCTTCCTCAATCTCTTCCCAGTCATTTCCTCCTTCAGGATAACGACTAGTCTGACTTGTATCACTTTCAATTAATTTTGTCTATTCTCGAACTTCATCAGTTTAGACTCATACGTGTTTTGTATGTGTCACTATTAAGTTGTCCTATTGCTTCCTGTGTCCGGAATAGTAACCTATGTTTTATAAGAAATTTGTCTGCCTTATCTAAGTTCAACTTATTGGAATACTTTGTTTCGCCTCTTTTTTTAATCACTCTTGTTCAATTTTAATAATACTTTTTAAGAACCAGCTTTTGAATACTGTCTACCTTTTATTCAATATTTCTCCATGCTTTTAAGCACTCTGCTATTACTGCCTTTCCCTCATTGCAAAATATACCACAAATTCAATTACCTGCAATTGATAAATAGGGTAATAATGTTTGTATCATGTGGAAGTCATGGTAGGCTTTACAGTTTTTTAGGCTTAGAGTTCTAGCTCAGTTGGAACAGAATAAGAGTGCTAAGGAAAAAATCTCTCAGCTTGACAACTTAACAAACAAGAGTTCTTTTCATCTCTATTTTAAGACAATTTTATATGTGTCTGCACACAGGGCTCCCTCCCCACAGAGGACTACCCCATGCATGCACCTTTCTCAGCATAGGGCTGGTGGTTGCACTTCCTCCAGGGCCCACCCAACAGCAGCCCCAATGGTTCAAAGACCCCACTTCCATTTCTATTGTCTTGACTTCTAAAAGCATTTTTATGAGAAGTTTTAATATCTGGAGGCAGTTTCCAGACACACTACCCTCCAGGGCCATTCATATCATCATCTGCGGTACCAATTATTGTTTTTGCTCTAGTGCTCTGGTTAGAAGTTGCAAAGCTTTTGAATCACTTGCTCTAAATCTGTGCTTCCATAAGCAAGCCCTGTTACTTTTTGCATGTGATGTCATAGAATGCAAGCTTTATTCAGTAATGCACATGTCATGTTGTAGTAGAAACGCCTGCAAGTGTTGTAAAAGAGCCAGAGTCAGATTCTGCGGGTTCAGAGAGCAAAGAGCTGGCACAAAAAGGATCAGGGAGTATGGTGTGGAAAAGGTGGCAATTGACCAAGGGCTTGAGGGATCTGGCAAAATCCATGAGCAGTGAAAGTGGAGGAGCATCCTCATCTGGGAAGGAAAAGAGTGAGCAGAGCATGAAGAAGGAAAATATTAGTAAGTATTTCTCACGTTGGTAAGATAAATATGCGTTTTCAAATAATAGTTCTGGAAAAGATTGTAACTTAAACATATGTGATGCCTAGGTCTTTAAAAGTAGAAAATATGTATTTTGGATCTATAAGTGTTCATTTTACTTAACAGAGTTGGTAATTTGCTCAAGTACATGATTGCTACACCCTTAACCAGAAGACAAAAGTGGGAAAAACAATTAGCAGGTGTATTTTTTCTGTGTATAGGTTTTTTGTGTCTACGCAATTGTCATTAAACACAGATCCTTTCTGTTTCATCTATAGCATGCTACATGATAGATTTTCTTTTTACCTTTTATAACAAGTTTTAAGTATTTCGTTTCTAAAATGCTGAAAAAGAGCAATTTTCAGTGGTATACAATTCACACTGACTTGGTTCATTTCTACATGGATTCATATTTGTTCACTAAAATGAACCTAAGCCTTGATCAAAGGAAAATGCTTTTGCACATTCCAGGTTTCCATGAGGAAGGATTATTCCTAAGCTACTTCTTGGACTCTTTATGCTTAAAAAGGACTAAGTGCCTTATCTGATCATTGCCTTTGGAAAGAACAAATTGGGCTGCCCAAGGGAGCCTGAGTTCACTGCTGCTCCCTGAGTTGAGAGCACTACCTGCCACTGGACTGGAAGAATCAGTAGCCACAGGTTTCTGTGATCATGGTCCATTTGTTTCTCACATCAAGCTCCATCCTCCAATCAAACCTGCATCAGTAGTAAAATCTTACTCTTTATTTCTCGACTTATTCCAAATCCAGGCAGGAATAAAAGATATTTTGGAAACAAACATTCTTAGATACATCAACAATGGTTCTTTTCTCAAGTTGCTTAAACAATTCTGAGATTTTAAAAATTAAGACGTACATAAGGCTAAAGCATGTAATTGAATGATTTCTATAGTAAGAGGAAAATTCAAAGGACACTTTTACTATACTAACAAGAGATTCTGATATTTCTCACTTGATATTTTGAAAGTAAGTGCCCGTTTAATAGGTAATAGCTCACATGACAGTAGCATGAAAGCTTATTAAAAACCTTTTATTTCATATTACTTTTTAATTTGTCGAGTGATTTTGCATGTTTTATCTCACTTGAGCTTCTACGAACTAGAGCAAGCAAATACTGCTATCTCCACTTCAATAATGAATGAATTGATGCGTCTCACTCAAGGGCAGGAAGTTGTTGCAATTTGGGCAGAACTAGGTAGAACTTTGAATCTGGCTCTTTGGGTGCCACATATTGTGATCTCTAACTGAACGCATACTATTCCTCATCCTTAGTTAAAGATCTGTAAAATTTTTAAAGCGTAATTAAAACAGTGCAACTTAAATTCTGATATCAAATTGTTTATTTACATGTAAGCATAATCTTTTTAAAAAATTCTATTTTTGATTGACAAATAATTATATATGTTACTGTGGTACAGTGGGATATTTTGATACATGCACACATTGCAGAATGATCAAATTAGGCTAATTAACATATTTATCACTTCGGATATTTTTTCTTTGTGGTGAGAACATTTAATGTCTACTCTTTTTGTATATTTATATATTATTTTATTATTTTATTTTTTGAGTTGCGTCTCACTCTGTCACCCAGACTGGAGTGCAGTGGCCGCTCCCAGCCACTGCAGCCTCGACCTGCTGGGCTCCGGCGATCCTTCTGCCTCAGTCTTCAAGTAGCTGGAACTACAGGCACGCGCTACCACGTCCAGCTAATTTTTGATTTATTGTAGAGATGAGGTCTTGTCAAGTTGCCAGGCGGGTCTCGAACCCGCAGGCTCAGGCAATCCACTCACCTTAGCCTCCCAAAGCGCGGGATTACAGGCTGAGCCACCGAGCCTGGCAATATTTACATATTATTAACTATAGTCACCAGGCTGTGCAATAGATAACCAAAATCTATTCCTCCTATCTAACTAAAACTTTGTACCCTTTGACCAACATTTTCTCTTTTATTGTCCTCTGCCCTCTGACTTCCTCTGACTTCAAGCCTCTGGCAACTGCCATTCTATTCTCTATTTCTATGAGTTTAACATTTTTGATTCCACACATAAGTGAGATAATGTGTATTTGTCTCTCTGTGCCTGGCTTATTTTACTTAGCAAACTGTGATTAGCACAAGATGCCATTGTGAATATATACTTATATGCTTATCATTCATCCATTGATGGATACTTTAGATGTTTCCATATCTTGGCTGTTGTGAGTAATGATGTAATGAACATGGAAGTACAGACATCTCTTTGACACAATGATTTCCGTTTATTTGGATATATGCCCAGAAGTAGGGCTGCTGGATCATATGGAATTCTACTTTTAGTTTTTTGAAGAACCTCCATACTGTTTTCCAAATGACTGTACTAATTTACAATGCCACCAACAGTGTACCAGGGTTTCCCTTTTTCCACATCCTTGCCAGCACTTATATTTCTTCTTTTTTTTATAATAGCCAATCTAACAGTGTGAGGTGATATCACATTGTGATTTTAATTTGCATTTCTCTGATGATTGGAGATGTTGAGCATTTTTTAATATATCTGTTGGTAATCTGTCTTCTTTTTTTTTTGATTTATTGTCTCACTCTGTCACCCTGGCGGGAGTGCAGTGGTACTCTCACAGCCACCGCAGCTTCAACCTGCTGTTCTCAGGTCATCCTTTTGCCTCAGCCTTCCAAGTAGCTGGAACTACAGGCACGCGTCACCACACCCGACTAATTTTTTTTATTTTATTGTAGAGATGAGGTCTCACCAAGTTGCCCAGGCTGGTCTCGAAACCATGGGCTCAGGCAATCCTCTCACCTTAGCCTCCCAAAGTGCTGGGATTACAGGTGTAAATCACTATGCCCAGCCATTTTTTTTGCATATCATAATCATTTTTAAAGCACAGATTTTTAAAAAATCTTTATATATTTACAGAAAGTTATGATTGTGTATTCAAAACCATTGGTTCTCAATCAGGGATGATTTTGCTACGAAGGAGACATTTGGCGATGTCTGGAGACATTTTATTTTTTTAGTCAGAGTCTCACTCTGTTGCCCAGGTTGGAGTACAGTGGCATGCTCATGGCCACCTCAGCCGCAGCCTGTTGGGCTCAGGCAAGCCTTCTGCCTCAGTCTTCCAAGTAGCTGGAACTGCAGGCATGTATCACCACGCCCAACTAATTTTTTTATTTTATTGTAGAGATGAGATATTACCAAGTTGCCCAGGCTGGTCTTGAACCCATGTCTCAGGCAATCCTCTCACCTAACTTCCCAAAGTGCTGGGATTATAGGTATGAGCCACTGTGTCTGGCCTTATATGTCTTCTTTTACAATATTTGTTCAAGACTTTAACCCATTTTTTTAATCTACTTATTTATTTATCTTCTTGTTATTGAGTAGTTTGAGTCCTTGTATGTTTTGAAAATTAGTCCAATATATGATTTGCAAATATTTTCTTTGAATCCATGGATTATTATTTATTATTATTGCTGTTGTTATTATTATTTTGCTGGGCAGAGGTTTTTAGTTTGATACAATTCCATTTGTCTATTTTTTTTTCTTTTGTTGCCTATGCTTTTGGAGTTATATTCAAAAAATCATTGCCCAGACCAATATCATGGAGTGTTTCCCCTGTTATCTTCTAACAGTTTTACAGTTTCAGGTCTTATGTTTAAACCTTTAATTCATTTTGAGTTGACTATCATATAAGGGTTCATTTTCATTCTTTTATATGTGAATACTGAGTTTTCTCTACACCATTTATTGAAGAGATTGTCCTTTTCCATTGTGTGTTCTTGGTATCTTTGATAAAAATCAATTGACAGTGGGCGTGTGGCTTTTTTTCTGGGATCTCTATCCTATTCCATTGGTCAATTAGTCTGTTTTTATGTCAGTACCTTGCTGTTTTAATTACCATAGCCTCATAAAATATTTTGAAATCTGGTCCTGTGATGCCTCCAGCTTTGTCCTTTTTGGTCAAGATTGCTTTGACTATTTGAGATCTTTTGTGGTTCCATACAAACTTTAGGAGTATTTTTTTTCCATTTATCTAAAAATTGACATTGATATTTTGATAGGGATTGCATTGAATCTGTGGATCACTTTGTGTAGCATGGACTTTTTAATAATAGTAATTCTTTCCGTCTGTGAGGACAGGATTTTCTACTTATTTGTGTCATCTTCTGTTTCTTTCATCAATGTTTTGTCTTAGGCTGTATCATCCTCCACAATGCAGTCCCCACTGTGCTCTGAAGCTAACAAGGTCATCTTTAAATTGAGAAAATCGAATGTAATCATGATTCTTCACACCAGCCCAGAGACATTCACAGTATAAACTTCATTTTTTCCTAGAGCCCCAGATAAGTGTAGTGAGGCATGGAAACTTGTTCTCCAATTTCAAATTGCCTGCTCCCCTTTTCTTCATGCTTTTGTCCATCACAGTCTTCAGACATTTTCATTAAAGTTCACATAATTGTAAAGGGGTGTACTTTCGGGTTGGGGAAAGGAGTAATGACAGGGAAGAAAGGTAAAATGAAGCAGGAAAGGAGGACCTAGGCCAAACAGCCTATCCCCAAGCAAAAAATGTCCTCAAAATGTTTCTCAAACATGTAAAAGCATTATTGTTTTAATTAATATATTAAAAGATAAATATAATTGCACACCATCAAGGAAAACTAACTTCCTCTTTCTCTAATAAGAAGTGTGTTGTTGTATAATTCTAGCACTGAAACACTGCCATGCACCCCAGGGGCTAGCTATGGTCGTAGAGGAGTCCTCTATAGGTTCAGATATCCAGCTATTATCAGAAACTCCGTATATGAGCCCACATCTGCTGTTATTATGCCACTCCTTGATACTCATTCCATAAGAAGTATCACTCATCAAAATTTATAGATCCTCTGAGAGATTTCTGTGGTTTGGCCTCTATGCCCCCATAGATGTTTGTAACTCCTCAAAATCTATCTTATTCTTGCCACTTCCTGTTTTCATATACTAAATCATATAGAACAATTTTTTCTCATAGTGCTAGAGCTATATGAGTACAAATGAGCTATATGAGTACGAATCTCACTCCTAAGCATTACTCCCAACTGCAACTCATTATCAAGGTCAAGAGTCTAATCATTACTTTCACTTTCACTTTTATTTACAGGTGCCTTGGAAAGCATCTGTTTCAGAGGTTGGAGATGATCTTTGTCTTTTTCCCTTGTTTCACACTCAGTCAAAATATTCTTCACCATGTCGTTTAAACATTGAATCTCATGTTATCTATGATGGAGGAAGTTTTTTCCACCAGTCTGTTGTAAACTGAAACTTTTATAAAATATAGTAAAATGTCATTTTATAGCAATGTCTCATTGCTATAAAAAATTTCTAAATGCTTTCTCTCACTTTTAGAACTTATTCCACAGAGGACCAGTTTGCAGATGGAGTACAGTATATGCACATGCATGGTATACACACATGCATAAACAAACACACATACTCATATTGAGCGGTATTGTTCTAGAGGTTCAAGACCATCATAACAGATTCACATCCTATTTTGATACACACGCGCTTTGTAAATGGGTATCCAAATGAACCTCTGTCCCTCCCCACACTCTGTTTAAATATATATTATTTGGCAAGATGTGAGGAAAAAATATAATTTATCAGGAAATATTTTCTTTCAAGTCAGAATCAGAAGAGTTTATGTCTTATAGAAGTGATCCAAATTTTAAATGCAAAAATGAACCCGACATAATAACATCCACAAGAATAGCAAATAAATCTTAGAAATTTAAGATCTCATAATAACCTTGATGTAAAAGATAAGTTATTGACCACTTTTTCTAGAAGAGCCATATTATTAAAAAGTCAACATTTCAGGCATGTTTTATTTCATATTATAAAATGAAACACATGTTTGGATTTAGGTTTTACTAACAGACAAGTATTGGAATTTATATTACTGTTTTCTCACAAGTGGACCATGATTTTATATACTTTTGAGAAAATAAAAACTTAATCTGAATGTTATTGTTTTATATGTTTTTAAAAGTGTACATTGTATTACATTTCTGACTGAGTTATGAATTTTGACAAGTTATTATAAATTAAGGACATTCCAATATTGCTAGAACCTATTTCAACTACATGTTAGGAGCAAGATTAAATAGTCAGGGAAAGGAAGATTGGACCTCTGGAATGGCAAAGTGAGAATTTGACATATTCTCTTCCCCAAAAAGAAATGATAAACTAGAAAAAAGTTATTAAAATATTTTGGAAATATGCAAATGAATGAAAGGCATAAAATTAAATAAAAATAATTATTAAAATGAATAAAAGCAAACAAACATAATTGTGTTAGTTTCCTATTGCTGATGCAACAAATAACCACAAACTTAGTGACTTAAAACAACATGAACTTTTTATCTTATGGTTCTGGAAGGTAGAAATCCTAAAATAAAGGTGTTGGCAGACATGCATTCCTACTAAAAGATATAGGGAAGAATCTGTTTCCTTTTTCAGCTTCTAGGACCACTTGATTATTTGGCTGTGGCCCCTTCCTTATATTCAAGGCCAACAGGACAGCATCTTCTTCATTCTCTTTCTCTCTCTCCCCCCTCACATCCCACTTTCCTCCCTGCCCCCTCTCCTATGTCTATTTCCCTTTCTCCTTCTCTGACTTTTTCTACTCTCTCCATCTTTTCCTTATATGGGTTCTTATGACTACACTGAGTACATCTGTAAAATCTAGAATAATCTTTCCATCTCAAAATCCTTAACTTAATCATATCTGAAAAGTTTTGCCACGTAAGGTAACAGAGTTACATGTTTCAGGGATTAGGATGCATACTTATCTGGGGGTCTATTATTTCCTCTACCACACTTGGTAGGAACAGTAGAGATCTGTGGCATGTTAGCGTGGGTTTCTCTCATTACCTCCAAGGCTTGTAGCATGGAAACCATGAGGACCAGCAACCTTATTGTCAATGCTAGAGGGAACTTACCTGATTTGAGGTTTCATAGAAAAGTTCCATGTCTATTGACATTGTTGAAAGCAATAAGGAACTTAGTGGCAAGCAATTAGGAATGACCAAGATCATAGCTGCCTGAGACAGTGATAATGGTCAAATGGACAACAGACCAGCTGAAAATTGAACAGGGAGATCTAAGCACCAGAACAGCCACAGTAAGCTTTGATAAGCTTCAAATAGTCTTGGACACCTGGATAGCTACACCCATGTTCAGGGCTGTGTGCACACTTAGGAGAGACTAGAGATGGTCCAAGTTGTCTGCTTGTCCCTGTAGGCATATAAAACCCTAAGCCAGTGGAAGTAGGGGCTGCTTTGTACACTGACAGAACTTTGTGTACTACAAACCACACAGAGATCCCCTTGTCAAAAGTGGAAGCTTTACTGAATCAACGTGTTTAAGAAAAATCTCTGAAAATATTTTGGCTGACCACTAAAGTATTCTGACCCCTGAGTGACCCCTAGGAAGTCGGATTTTAAAATAAAAAATAAGAATGAAAGAAAACTGTGTAGAAACACCTTTAGCTTAATGGGGACATAAGACTCTACAAGCAAATCACTAAACAACCAGCTAAACAAAGAAAAGCAACAACAATAATTCCTGGAGCAATAAGAATCCTGAGTTACTACAATGTATTATACATATTCTAAGGAATTGGGGAAAAACAATTAATATTATCTAGGCCTACTAAATGTGTTTGGCAAGGTCACATAATATATAAGATTAATTAAAATTATTTCTGCATAGTAGTGATGAATCAAAAATGAAACTGAGAAGACAATTTCATTGCATCAATAATAAATATTTAGAAATAAATTTAAAATTTAAAGTACAAAACTTGTATATTGAAAACTACAAAACATCCCTGACAAAAATTTTTAATTATCCAGATAAAAAGAGAGTCCATGCTTTGGACTAAAAAATTCTATAAATTTACTGTAACCTCTATCAGAATCATAGTAGAAATTTTACAGAATTTGACAAGCTAATCTCAAAACTTATATGGAAATGCAAAGGACTCAAAATGGCCAAAATAATTTTGAAAAAGAAAAACCAAGTGACAAGGGGACTTCCTCAACTAAAAATGAAGAAATAGACAAAACTATGGCTAACATCATACTAAATAGTAGGAACTAGAAATTTCCCCACTTAGATCAAGAACAAGCCAAAGATGTTCTCTACACCAATCATTTCCAATATTGTACTAGAAGTTCAAGCAAATGAAATAAGACAAGAAAAAGAAAGTAAGAAGTTAAAACTCTGTTTGTAGATGGCATGATTGTCTATATAGCACAATTACCACCGTAGTAGGGGATGTTAATAATGGAGGAGGCTATGCATGTGTAGGGAAAGGAATATATGAGATATCTCTGTATTTCCATCTCAATTTTACTGTGATCCTAAAACTGCTCTTAAAAACATAAAGTCTTTTTTTTGAAAGAGAACCAAGTGGAGAATTTTTCCATTTATTTTCTATTTTTATTTTTTATTTTAGATTCAGGGAGTACACATCCATATTCATTTCATGAGCATATTGTATAGTGGTGGGGATTGGGTTTCAGGTGGCCACATGAGGGATTTTTACTTTATGATTTCAAGATTGATTATGAAGTTAGTAATAATAATCAAAACACTATGGTCTGATAGTTTCTTTGAAAAGTAAACATAATTTTACCATATGACCCTAGAATCTACTCCTACTTGACATAAAATGTCCAGGAAAGACAGACCTATAGAGGCGTAAGTAGATTGATGATTGCCTGGAGTTTGTGGTGGGATTAGAGAGTGACTATAAAAGGACACAAGATATCTTATTTGGATGATGGAAATGTTTCAAAACTGGATTTTGTTGATGGTCACACAACTTGGTAAATTTACTAAAAAGAACTGAACTAGACTTGCAATGGTTGAATTTTAAAGTATGTAAATTGTACTTCAATATGTTTTTTGTTTAAAATGGTCTGGAAAGGCTGAGAGATTAATATCCTAGACTCTAAAGTCTCTTAAATCTGTTCTTGTGGGCTTACTATGGGTCTGTGGAGTAAAAAGCTGCTGATAATCTGATTTTCAGTGTTTAAGTTTTAAATATTGCTGTCTCCACCAGACTAAAGTTTTCTTGATGGTAAAATTTTGTTTTCAATATACCAGTATAAATATGTAAAAAATGTGTTTATGTCCCAACCACCATAGTTCTTAGTATAGCTTCCAGACATAGCCCAGGCTCTTTAAACATTGGGTCATTTAACTTGCTTGTGAAATTTTGTAAATTCAGACTTTTTGTTTCTTCTTTCACTTAACTGTGACTAGAATAACATTTTATTATTCTTCTAATAGATTATATTCATTTTGTCATTTCCTTCATTTAATTAAAGACAAAGAAACACCAGCTAGAGGATAAACATAAAATATAATTACATAGTTATATTTTAATTATAAAAAATAAGGCAAGTTCAATCAATGGTTTTTTAACATAAGATACTATTTTCAAAGAAAATAAAATTAAAATAATCTATTTAGTGATTGTTATTTATTTTTTGCAAGCTTATGTCTTTTTTTTAAAAAAAACAGGGCCTCGTTTACGATCCCCAACAATTTTAGAAACATCTCCAAGAGTTATTCGAAAAGCACTAGAATTTATGGATTTAAATCAATATGTACGGTAAGTTTTAATAAGCTTAATTGTTGTGGAAAATTATGTTCATAGATTTTTGAATACACTGAATAGACAATGTATATGTATCCTCAGTGGGTCTAAATTTTTAGAATTATGTAATTTTACATCTCAAAATTAGCCAATATTTTAGTAAATCAATTATAAAAAACATTTAAATATTTCTTTAAAGATTTAATTTGAAGTCTGATTAAAGTGACTTGAGCTACAGAAAATTCCCATCATACCTGCTGTCATTTAATTATATTCAAAGTTTTAGTAAACTAGATGATAAGATTATAGAGAGATAGTTACTCAAGCATATTTATAAGTTTGAAAACATTATCAAAATTATTTATCTATATAAATGCAAAAGGAAAAAAAATTTATAATTTTGAATAACAATACATAATCACCTAATCAATTAGTGAATCCAAATGAACTTATATTCTCAAAAATATTCTCCTAAAATATCAATGACTTGGAAAATGGAGAATAGCACATCTAAAAAATAACCATTTGTTCTTTCTATCCCTATTTCTATCTATTCTTTCTCTATTCTTTCTTTCCCTGATTTATGGATTTAAATCAATATATATGGTAAGTTAAGCATAATTGATGTGGAAAATTGTGTTTGATTTGATTCTGACCGTCACACTGCTGATATAATTTTGAATTATTCAAGTTCTAAAGTAAAGTTTTTTTCCAGAGTTCTCAAATGATGTATATATCTCTTGATGATTTTATATTAAGGAAAACAAGTAATGATCCTCAGCTGAAAACAGAAGAATTGAGTCAGCAGCAGGCAATGCAAAAGGCAGAAGAAATTCACCAGTTTCGACAGTATAGGAGTAGAGTCCAGAGCATTAGAGACATTGAACAAACAGAACGGTTAAAGTTAAAGGAGGAAGTCCTGATTATGTATGAGGAAATGCGGGTGAGTCTGAAATCACACACAGGAGGTCACAGTTGACAAATTCTTTTCTATCTTGTAATATCAAAAAGAAATCATAGAATCATAGAGTATTTGTGTAGAAAGAAGTCTTCAAAATATTTATTTCTATAGTTTGCAACTTCTGGGAAAAGATTTCAAGTTAATTATGTATTTCACTCACTCTCTAAAATTTTTCTAAAATGTAGTATTGAGAATCTATCCCCAAAGTGGGAAGAATAGTACAGAAGACAAAATTATTTGTGAAGCTGGAAAAAAACTGGAGGAAGACCACATTAACAGACTTGAGAACAGCTCGTAAACTGGCCATGGGAAAGCTTTTAACCTTCAAGCCAATATACTCCACAGAATCATTACATAATCCCCAAAAGGCTCAGCAGTTGGTGGCACCATGTATGTTAGGAAGTGAAAAGGGAATGGCAGGAAGATGAAATAGTTTTATTCCTTTTAAAGTTATTTAATAATTGAAGATAGTCACCTCAACTTTTTGCAAGTAGGTTATTATCCTCCTTCATCTCAGCAGGATAATAGATGTATTTTATTTAGACATGCCCCCTAAAACAAAAAAAAAAAAAAGAAAGAAAAAAATATTTTCTGTATTGTGGAATACTAAGCTTAATTGAAAATGAAAGTATTATACTAGAAATGGGGAAATTCAAAAAATGTGTGTGGATGACTTCCCACTATGGAGGAGGATTATTTATTTCCTCCTTCTTCCCTACAATACACACACACACACACACACACACACACACACACACACACTCCCAAAGACACTGAAGGCTACAGAACTTTCTAAATATTTTAGCCATAGTATATTTTAATTTCCAGTATTGGCCCATGTAAGAAACAAGTCACTTTGATACTTCTTGTTGTTTGTCTAATAGGAAACTCTCCAAATCTGATGCTTGCCCTCCCCCCATCTAAGCACAAGTATTTACCCACCAAAATTCAATAGATTATCCCATCTTATTCAATAGTGATTGCACACTTTCAGTTACTAGAAGCAGAGACCTTAGACATATCCTTGACTCCTTTCACTCCTCACATGTAATCTGTTATCAAAACTTCTCAATTCTACCTTGAAAATATATCCTCCCAGAGACAAACCTGGGCAACTTGGCGAGACCTTGTCTCTACTATAGATATATATATAGGCATTAGCCGGGCATGGTGGCGCATGCCTCTAGTTCCAGCTACTTGGAAGGTTGAGGCAGAAGGATCACCTGAGCCCAGAGCCCAGCAGGTCGAGGCTGCAGTGGCCGTGAGCATGCTACTGCACTCCAGCCTGGGCAACAGAGTGAGTCTCTGACTTGGAAGGAAGGGAGGGAGGAAGGAAGGAAGGAAGGAAGGAAGGAAGGAAGGAAGGAAGGAAGGAAGGAAGGAAGGAAGGAAGGAAATATGTACCAAATTTGATGAGTTCTCGTTATCTCTATACGTACCTTAGCCCAATTGCTTTTTCTTAAAAGGATTGCTGCAGCCCAGTAACTGATCTCACGCCTTTCATCTTTGTCCCTCTATAATGTGGGCTATGCTCTGCCACTAAAATGATTGTACCAACCAGAATAAATGGTAACAAAAAAACCCATTGTCACAGTGGCTTATCACAGGGTTTGGCAAACCTGCTTTCTATAAAGGGCCAAATAGTAAATATTTATGTTGCCTTTACTCAACTCTGCCATGGTAAACACAGAATCACAGATAATACCTACGTAAATAAAACTCTACTTAGAAAAGCAAGCAATATTCCAGATTTGTTTAACAGGCCTGTCAATGCTGGCTTAAAACAGTAAAAGAGTACTTTTCATTCTAGCCACGTGCCCAGTGCAATTCAATAGGGGATCCTTCCTATTTTATTTTTTAAGATTACCAGACTGAAGAAGATTCCGTGTGGACACCTACCGTGATGATTATGACAGAGGAAAAGAGCATGGGGAATTGCAGATTGGATGTTACTGTTTCTGCCCAGAAATCCACATTCATTTCCACTCACATTTCACTAGTCAAAGCAAGTCACATGAATGGTCAGTTACAACTTCAAAAAATAAATCAATCTTGACAACACCGTGATTTTGAACTTGCAGCATCAAGAACGTGAAACAGTACATTTATGTTGCTTATGCCACCCAGTTTGTGGTTCTTTGTTACAGCAGCCCTAGCACACTACTGTAAGAACAATGCTACCATGTACCTGGAAGATAACTGGAAATACCTATTTTATGAATTTCACTAACGTTTACCATAATACACCTTTAAAGTGAAGGATGCGACTGTTTCACTTCTCTAATGGCTTCACATTTTACCAAGAAAAAAACCAAAGTCTAGATCATGACCTCTAGCATTCCACATCGAGTACCCACTTTCCCCTCTCATTTTCTCCAACTCCATTCTGTCTCCTTTGCTCCTTTTACCAAAATGATTTTGCCTTTCCACCAACAGGAATGTTTTCCCCTCTGGGTCTTTGACCTTACTCCTACCTCTTCCTAGAATGCCCTTCTCCCAGAGAGTTAAATAGTTTGCACCTTCCTTTTATGAGACTTCTCATCTATTGTCACTTCATTAGAGAGTTTGTCACTATCTACTCTTTCAAAAATTAGTAATCTTAAAACTAATGGAGGTGGGCTTCAGCATGCCTGGCCTTATTTTAAAGTCTCTTATCCTGCATGTGAATTCATTTTTTGGTATAATATGAAAATGTAGATATAATATATATACTATGCATACTTTTTTTCTCTGTTTCTACTAGAATATAAACTGTACATGAATAGGGTTTTGTTTTTTTGGTTTACTTTTGTGTCCCCAGAACTTAGAAGGCATGTCTGCTTCATCAAAGTTTGTTTAATAAATGAATCAGTAGGTCAATGAATTAATATTAAAATTGCATAGGTTCAACTTATCATGTAGGAAATAGAGTAAAGTAAATTATAAGACAGCCAGACTCGGTGACTTAGCCTGTAATCCCACGCCTTTGGGAGGCTGAGGTGAGTGGATTGCCTGAGCCCGCGGGTTCGAGACCCGCCTGGGCAGCGAGACCTCATCTCTACAATAAATCAAAAAATCAGCCGGGCATGGTAGTGCACGCCTGTAGTTCCGGCTACTTGGAAGGCTGAGGCAGAAGGATCGCTGGAGCCCAGCAGGTCGAGGCTGTGGTGGCCGGGAGTGACCACAGCACTCCAGTCTGGGAGACAGAGTGAGACACCAACTCAAAAAAAAAAAAAAAAATTATAAGACAAAAAGAATTTCAGGATGGCAGTTTGAATTTTTTGTGTTTAATAGACAAGCAAATGCAGCAGATGGGGAGGATATGGAAAAAATATTAACTGGGACAACTTTGAATTAAGACTCCATTTATTTAAGTGTGAGGTACAAGAACTCTAGTTTTGATTGAAGCCGTTTTAAAAGAAACATGACCAGTAATGTATTTCTTTTTTTTTTTTTCTTTTGAGTCAAGAGTCTCACTCTGTCACGCAGGCTGGAGTGCAGTGGCACACCCACAGCCACCACAGCCACCACCTGCTAGGCTCAGGTGATCCTTCCACCTCAGCCTTCCAAGTAGCTGGAACCACAAGCACGCGCCACCACACCTGGCTAATTTTTTTTTTTACTGTAGATGAGGTCTCCCCAAGTTGCCCAGGCTGGTCTTGAACCCCCTGGTTCAGGCAGTCCTCTCGTCTCTGCTTCCCAAGGTGCTGATATTACAGGCAAGAACCACCGCGCCTGGCTACGTATTTCTTATCAGATAGAAGAATGAGTATCTTTTATACTCACCTTCAAGGGATTACTGACGTATATTAAACTTGCTTTACACAAAATTCCTCTGTCTCTCTCTCTCTCTCTTTCTCTCTCTCTCTCTCTCCCTCCCTCCCCTTCTCTCCCTCTCTCCCTCCCTCCTCCTCTCCCCACCTCCGTCTCCCTCCCTCTCTTTCTCTCCCTCTCTCTCTCTCTCTTTCCCTCCCCTCAATATGTCACTGCTGTCATCTAGGCTTGTGAGAGTTAGTTTAGTTAATTCAACTTTATTATGGTATATACAGTATTTGTCAAAATATTTGGGAAATTTAATTCTGACATCCAGCTGTTGCAACAGCCCAACAAAATCATGCCAGCTGCAAAAATATGGAATATTTCTTGAAAAATTAAAGGATGGCTCTTTCCCTGCCACTGTTGAGTAGTGCGGAGGTGGACTTGGAGATTCTGTGTCACCTGTAACCCACCACCATGGCGGTGGAAGGCGTCGCTGCTAGAAGTGCCATGGACATGAACACTGCTTTACAAGAGGTGCTGAAGATCGCCCTCATCCACGATGGCCTAAGGCATGGAATTTGTGAGGCTGCCAAAGCCTTAGACAAGTGCTAGGCCCGTCTCTGCGTGTTTGCTTCCAAGTGTGATGAGCCTATGTACATCAAGTTGGTAGAGGCCCTTTGTGCTGGACACCAAATCAACCTAATTAAGGTTGATGACAACAAGAAACTAGGGGAATGGGTAGGTTTATGCAAAATTAAGAGAAAGGGAAAACCCTGTAAAGTGGTTGGTTGCAGTTGTGTAAGTAGTTAAGGACTATGGCAAAAAATCTCAGGCCGAGGATGTCATCGAAGAATACTTCAAATGCAAGAAATGAACAAATAAAACTTTGGCTCATGTTAAAAAAGAAAAAAATTTCAAGGATTAAGAAAGACATTTTTAGACAGTTATCTTCAGGATAGATCTGTTCATTAATCCTTATTTTTTATTATATCATTTTTGAAACAGCCAACAATCCACAAGTCCACTTCCACATTAAGAGATGAAGGAGAAGGGAGAAATCAACAAAGATGACTTAAGAGCAGTGAGTGAAATAGAAGAAAAATTAAGAGGTTGTGATGTCCGGGAAGCCACTTAAAGTCAGTTGATCCCGGAAGAAAGAGTGTGGTTAAGCAAGAATAGAACCAAGAAATGATCTTGAATTTAGCTACATATACGTCATTGGTGTCCTTAATGAATGCAATTTTGTTGGAATGTTGAGAATGAAAGTCAAACTGACATTAATGAAGATAACCAATGAATTAGGTGATATTATTTGGTAGTTTTCCAAGTACAGCTCGGACATATTTTATCAGGGCCAGAATACATGTGGGCAGCACAGTTGTTATTCAAGAGATACTGGGCTTAATGTTTGCATAGACTATATCTGAACTCCTTTTAAGCAGAGTTCCTTTTGCCAAAATCTCTATTTTTTAGCTTTCTCCTTGTTTTATCATTTCTTTTGTTTACCATCCTCTATTAAAATCTCATGCCCCTTTTTTTGCTATAACATGTTTTGTGTATTGATATGCATTTGAGACCATAGCCTAAATTTCATCTTTAATAATTTTCCACATAAATCTACTGCCATAAGAAAAGGGTAAAAGGATTCCTTTTTTTTTTTTTCTGGAGTCGGAAACCTTTACCAGTGGAACTTATTTGTTTGGGGTTTTGCTTTGGGACAGGACTCCTTAGATGAAGCCCGACAGAAGATCTTCAATACCCGGGAAGAATATAGAAACAAGTTGCTGGAAGCTGAGCGCCTAAGGCTGGAAGTGCTGGCTGCTCAAGAAGCTGCAATACAGGTAGAGACAGAAAAGACTCCTCCTGACACACAGAAAAAAAAGAAAGGAAAGAAAAAGTAACCAGCGGATGCCCTATACTCTCCTTCTTCTTGAGAGGAAATAGCTATTTTTAATTATCTATAATCGCAAGATATTAGACCATTTGAAAATATTAGTTTTCCTATCTTAGAAATATTTTTTATGTTAACATGTTAGTTTTCTTGGGAAACCTAGTATTTGAAGTCAATAGAGAATTTTGATAAATTTTTCCCAATATTTAACATGTAGTAGAAATCTGTGTGTCATACTCTGAATTGTCTGAATTTTTCATTAGAAGTAAAATAAGATCATAAATGAGTCAATAGGATTGTCTGAAAAATTCAATGATGAGAGAAGTATTGTTTGTTCTTAGAAGAAATATTGTCTCAAACTCTAAAGGTTTTTAAAATATTAATAAACATGCTTCAGAATTGTGTCATTTTTTCCAAGCTGAACTTTAAGAAACCTCCTTCAACTGGGTTTGGTGGCTCAGCCTGTAATCCCAGCACCTTAGGAAACTGAGGCGAGTGGATTGCCTGAGCCTGTGGGTTCAAGACTAGCCTGGGCAACTTGACGAGACCTCGTCTCTACAATAAAAAAATCAAAAAAATTTATCTGAGTGCGGTAGCTCGTGCCTGTAGTTCAAGCTACTTGGAAGGCTGAGGTCAAGGATCACTGGATCCCAGCAGGTCGATGCAGGGGTGGCCATGAACGTGCATGCCACTACACTCCAGCCTGGGCAAAGGAGTGAGACTCCGACTCAAAAAAAAAAAGGAAAGAAACCTCCTTCACTGAGCAAGAACTATTCTGGTTCAGCCCACCAGTTTAGACCTCTAGATCATAACAGTCAGGACCCAGGTAACCCAAGCATAGAAAATGTGATAGCAGGCATATTCCTTTTCATGCCTACCAGCATTGCATTTTTTTGTTATTAAGATTAAGTTGTTATACATCAGTCTTAGAAAAATGCAATGAACGTATTAATTGAGAAACATAGTGGGAAATTGACTTTTTCTAAAAGCACACTTACAACTCTTGACTGTCCCATAACTCCTATAGTATTTTTTAACCAGTCAAAGCAATTTTACTTTAATAAGTAATTTTGTTATTTTAAATATTTGATTTAATTCACGCATATATGGTCAACCAAGTTTTGACAAGGGTGCCAAAAATAAATGATGAAGAAGGAAAGATTTCTTTAATAAATGATATTGTAGAAAAAATATCCACATGCAATAAAATAAAATAGGACCTTTGTTGTACACCATTTACAAAAATTAACCTGAAATGAATTAAAAACTTAAATGTGTCATGCCTGTAATCCCAGCATTTTGGGAGGCAGAGGCAAGAGGTTTGCCTGAGCTCAGGGGTTCGAGACAAGTCTGGGCAACTTGGTGAAACCTCGTTTCTACAATAAATTTAAAAATTAGCTAGGCGTGGTGGTGCACTTCTGGGGTTCCAGCTACTTGGAAGGCAGAGACAGAAGGATCACCTGAGCCCGCACTCCAGCCAGGGTGATAGAGTGAGACTCCTACTCAAAAAAAAAAAAAAAAAAAAAAAAAAAAAAAGGCTTAAATGTGATCTAAAACTGTAAAACTCTTAGGTGATAACATAGGGAAAAAGCTCTTTGACATTAGTCTTGGCAGTGATTTTTTTGGATACATCAAGAACACAGGCTACAAAAGCAAAAGTAAACAAGTCAGACTGCATCAAAATAAAAGGCTTGTGCATATCAAAGGACAGAACAAAATGAAAGGGCAAAGTATAGAAAATATTTTGGGAGAAAATATTTGTAAACCATATATCTGATAAGAAGTTAATATCCAAGAGTGTATAAGGAACACATACAGCTTAATAGCAGAAAAACAAATGACCCGATTTTTAAATGATCAAAGGACTTGAATATAATTTTTTCTAAAGAAGATACACAAATAGTCAACAGATTTATGAAAAAGTACTCAACACCACTAATCATCAGAGAAATGCAAATCAAAACAACAAAGAGATATCACCTCACATATGGTAAGATGGATGTTATCAAAGAGACAAGAGGGTGTTAATGTAGGTGTAAAGAAAAGGGAACTCTTAAACATTCCCATTGGTGGGAATGTAAATTGGTGCAACCATTATGGAAAATAGTATGGAGGGTTTTCAAAAAATTCAAAATAGAGCTACCATATGATCCAGCACTCCCATTACTGAGTACATAGCCAAATGAAATAAAATTAGTATGTCAAAAAGATAACTGCACTTCTACCTTCATTACAGCATTATTCACAATAATGATATGGGAACAATCTAAGTGTCTATTGACATGAATGAATAAAGAAAATGTGGTACATATTTGTATATATATGATATATGTATCGAGTATTAAAATCCTGCCATTTGCAACAACATAGATGAACCTGGAAAAAATTATGCTAAGTGAAATAAGGCAGACACAGAAAAGCAAATACTGTATAATCTCACTTATATATGAAATCTTAAAAAGTTGAGCTCATAGAAACAGAGAGCAGAACAGTGATTATCAGGGAATGGGGGAGAACTGGGGAGATGCTGGTCAAAGAGTACATTCAGTTATAAGATAAACAAGTTCAGGGTATCTAAGGTACAGAATGGGTGGTGATAAGTCTGGTGATTCCTTTTTAATTACTGTGGAACAAGTATATTGTAATTTATGTATACGTTTATGAAGCTTTATATATATTTCAGGACATTCAAATAGTAAACCTAATATTATATATTATCTTCAAATCAGATAACAATTTAGCTGCAAACATAACTTGTTATAATATATTTTTTTTTTGAGTTGGAGTCTCACTCTGTCACCCAGACTGGAGTGCAGTGGCCACTCCCGGCCACCGCAGCCTCGACCTGCTGGGCTCCGGCGATCCTTCCGCCTCAGCCTTCCAAGTAGCCGGAATTACAGGCATGCGCTACCACGCCCGGCTGATTTTTTGATTTATTGTAGAGATGAGGTGTCGCTGCCCAGGCGGGTCTCGAACCCGCGGGCTCGGGCAATCCACTCACCTCAGCCTCCCAAAGGCGCAGGATTACAGGCTGAGCCACCGAGCCCGGCACTTGTTATAATTTTAATGATATTTCTTAACCATCATCAATCACTTTCACATCTTTTATGCTATTACTTTTATTTGATAGTTTTAATTTGCTTTCTTTATCTTTACTTTTCTTGCTGTACTTTTGAAACTGCTACTATTTGAGTTTTTCTGTTTCTGAGTTTTATTATTTTTCCAAAGCTCTCATCTTTTCTTTTTGTAGCTTATTTTGAATCATTATACTACATTTTTCTTCTGGTTAATGCACACTTTTCTGGGATGTTCTCATTTTCTGTCTGAATGGTATTTGCTTCATTTTCATCTTATTATCTTTAATAACTGCATACAGTTAGATTTTGCCCAATATTTAAAAGATTGGTTTTTATAGACTATAAGAAGGAAGTTTCCGAAAATGACAGAAAGCCAAAAGTAACTCTCCCAGCTTTATGGACTCTCCTTCCTCTGCTGGGCTAACTTAAAATGAGAGACTGAGTCCAGAATCTCAATTAATCAAGGTTTATTGATCCAGGGCTTGAGAATGTGCCCAGGAAAGTATGAGTCATATGTGTTCTTTGAAGACATTTTCAGCATTCATACATTTCTTTAAAGGGAAAAAGTCATATCAGAAGAAGGGCAATAGTTGTTGAGGTAAATGGTGACATTTTTGTGAGACTTTAGTGCACAACAAATCTACATTTTACATAAGATAAGGTGAGCATTCAAAAAAAAAGTCAAGGAATAATCAATTATGCAGATGTCTCAGGGTAGGTGGAAGAATGACATCTCATCTTGTTTTTGTCCTGCACCTGGGAAGATAAGCTTGTAATTGACCATGTCAGTGTGAAATCTAAAAAACCATAGTTTTGAAGCTAGACTTAAGTTGCAGACCTACAGTTACAATGTACATGACCTTGTTTTAGGGAAGGACATACATCTTGTAAGGTCTCTGGGCCAACAAAGAATTTGCTTATCAACGTTCTGAGGGTAGTTATTCAGAGATGTACGAGGCCTTTTGCTTTTCTGTGGAAGTCTGGCTAATGTATAATGCTTTGACACAAAGTTGTGAAGTACCAGCTGCTCACTTGGGAAAAGGGCAGAGTTGCATGACTCAGTCTCCAGGCTTCACTTTCCCTTCAGTTTGGGAGTCCTGAGATTATTTATTTTCCTTTACAGAAGTCATCGTCAAAATATGGCCTCTCTGTCTCTCAGAGATAAGACCAGCTTATGAAGGGTATTGTTGTTTTGCCTCCAGGTCCCTGTTTCCTAAATTTCTATAGCCATTGGTTTTCAAACAGCATTCTCATCTTTAGATATTTTGTTTTCCTCCTGCAGTATTCTGAATCTGACTCTTCTGTATAAACACTCTCCCTTCTCTCCAGCATTCCTCAATTTGCTTAAGTCTTCTAACAGTGTTTCCTTAATTTGAAGCCCACTCTTCTGGATCTTTCTGAGAGTTCTAAGTGTAATTTCATGCATTGTAGGGTGAGTTGGTGGTTTTTCTTATTGTTGTTCTCACCAGTACCAGCCACATCATTTAAATGCTGAGCTAATCTTGCTGATTGTCTGTATCTGGGCCCCATTCCCACCACGCCTGTTCTTGGGAATTTCTTGTCATCCAGTTTTGCTAGTAATTTATCCAAGTTTTGTTTCTTTAGTATATGTGTGTGTGGGTATATGGCTTTGCCATCATAATTAGATTTCTATTTTTCAGGAAAAGTGTTTGGGAAAATCAAAACTATGATATTGACGCCGGGTGAGGCACAAAATTCATGGATTCTTTGGCTATCCCTAAAATCAATTTTAGAGTGGCCAGCAAAGTTTTAAGATAGTTTATTAGCAAGAAGAAAAAGAAAAAAGAAGATTCATGGCAGAAAGACCTGCCATGAGCAAATCTCTTTAAAAAGAAAAACTACACATTAGCTCTCAACTACAAGCTAGACATAGGGACCTAATTATTGGTATGAGGGTGGAGCACAAGTAACAGCTGCCCTCTCCATCTCAGTTGGGAGGAGGGGTGATCCTATTATCATTTCTATGGTTTTGATCAGTTAAGGGGTGGGTTGATTCTTTTAGCTTCAACAGGGAACCTGAGGATTTTTAGTGATTATGAGCTGAAAGGTTGGACTGTCCTTACATTTAATGAGGTTTTCTTTTGATTTGCTGAGAGGGTGGGGTAGGCTGCCAGCTTGGCCTGCAGTAAAATGAAATTTTTTTAAATGTCAAAATGTCTGGAATC